GTGACGTCTTTTATAATTTTCCGGACCCTATGGTTAGTGACGTCAGAGACCTCTTTTACAATCCCTGTTCCGACTTGGTCCGTCTTGGTGTCAAGGAACCCTCTTGGTGGTCTTTATGTTCCCGTGAAGAGCCGGGACAGCATAGTGAAGCAAAATGGTCAATCTACGCTATTTTATTAGTGTCTCCGGTCGACTTGTCAGGGTAAATTGTTTCGCATGGCGTCAATCTGTGCACCCATTGGCTCGTGGTCTGACGTGTGTCAGAGCGAACTGTTTGCTCGGATCCGCTAACTGCGGTCCCTTTGAATGGGCCCTACCACGGTACCGGGCTACTTTTTGGTCTACGGAGCATACGCCGGGGCCCGGTACCCGGGACGACTTCTGAGGTACGCGTACGGGTTCGAGAAACCCAGGTAGGTATATCACAGCGGTGTCATTGAACGGGTCAAGTTCCGTAAAATTTGTCATAAGTAGTTTCAGTCATATTTACAATCACAAATCTGGTCAGGTAATAAGGATTAAACAGACCTGATCGACCAGGATTTCCGGTCACTTGTCACAATTTACAGTCATACAATCACAGTCACAGTCAGAATCACATTCACAATTCACACTATTGTAAGTTCGAAATATAACAATTCGCTTTAATAACATACCGGTTGGTTCACATCAAGTCAAACCGTCGCGGTCACTGTCACAGTCACGGTTAATACAGTCGTGTTACGGTCACAGTCACAGTCACAGTATTAAGATTGACACAGTCACAATCACAATCACAGTCACGTAGGCATCGGGTCACGGTCAGCTGTAAACCTTGCAGGGTTGATTCCACCCATACAACTACCCGGCCGTCAATAGTAGTGCCCGGGGGACCGTTGTGCAAGGTGTGGTACCGACCGGCCAGTTAGTGGATGTGGTCATTTATGTTCGCGGCACGGGAGGGTATTAACACAAGAAGCATGCCAAAGACACTAATAAAATAGCGTACTTCGTCCTACTTGCATCAGTGAACGAGAAATGAGCATAAACAGTGTCAACAAGAATGAGCCTCCTGAACACCATCTGAGCGTAAGAATCAGATCGCGTGGCATGGCGAATCTCAGACAAGAAGTCGGGATCAGGCTGCACACTTGACACTGCAGCGAGTACGGGTTGGTCACCAGTAGGTACCGGTTTGTGGTGTGGTCTGCGCGAAAGGGCGTCTGGTAGTGTGTTGAGCCGGCCCTCCCGGTAGGTGAGCTTTAGGTCGAACTGGTTCAATTGCTCCTCCGACCGGTGATGGCGCGACTGAGTCATGAACTCGAGACTGAGAGGAAAGAGAAGTGGTCGGTGGTCACTACGGACAGTGACCGGTCGGCCCAACAGGTAGTGTCGCCACTTAGTGCGTGGCATGCACGAGTGCAAGCTGCTCCCAGTCGCGAGCAGAGTATTTCCGCTCAGCGCGGTTGAGTCGCTTGGACTCGAACGCGACCGGTAGAAGATCGCGATCTGTAGCGGTTCCCTGGAGCAGCACTGCACCAACTGCAAAGTCTGAGGCGTCAAGATCAAGTGTATAGGGGAGGTTAGGGTCGTACGGGCGGAGGATGGGTGCGTGGGTTAGGGCAATGTTGAGGGATTGGAACGCATGTTCCTGTGCGTCCGTCCACTCGAATTTTGCCGTTTTGGTTAGCAAGTCGTTGAGGGGTGCGGCAATCTGCAAAAACCTGCTGCGGACAAATCGGCGATAAAATCCTGCAAGGCCGAGGAACGAGCGGATATCGCCAGGGTCGTTTGGCCGTGGCCACTGGCTTATGGCGTCCACCTTGCATGCCTCCATGGACACCCCATGCTCGTTGATGACGTGACTGAGGAAGGTCACCTCGGTACGCCACAATTCACACTTGGACTCCTTGGCGTACAACTTGTGGTTGCGCAGGCGTGTGAATACCTCCCGAAGGAGGCGCTCGTGCTCATCTGCAGTCTTGCAGTAAATGAGAATGTTATCCAAGAAAATGACCACACCCCGGTCGAGCAGATCACGGAAGATGCCGTGCATGAGATCCGTGAACGCGGCTGGGGCATTCGTCCGACCAAATAGCAAGACCAACCACTCAAAGTGATTGTACCGCGTGCAAAACGCAGTTTTAGCGACGTCAGCAGGATCGATGGGAAGCTGCCAATAACCGGAGCGCAAATCAATCTTATAAAAGATTCGCGCCCCGTGCAGCTGATCGATAAGATCGTCTGCCCGGGGTAAGGGGTGAGCATTCTTCACCGTCTGCTTGTTCAGACCCCGGTAGTCAATGCAAAACCGGAGGCCCCCGTCCTTTTTCGGGGCGAAGAGAACATGTGCCCCCCACGGTGAATTGCTGGGCCGGATGAAGCCCTCAGCAATCTTGAAGGTCGTCCAGAGTACGGCGGAGTTCTTTGAGCTCAGAGGGGGACAGGCGGTAGATGTGGCGGTTGACCGGGGTAGCCCCCGGTTCGGTCTCGATGTGGAAGGGCATCCCCCGGTCAGGTGGTAGGTGGGCGGGTAAATCAGGACTGAGGAAAAACATCGGGGATGTCAGCGCCTTCAACCGAGTACATCTGTCAGATTCAGGTGCCAGATTGGGTACAATATCAGGCGAAATGCTGGGTGTAACTTGAAAGACCGGTTGCTTCTTCTTGAGCAGCTTGTTAACCTGCACAGAGCTCATCCGATCAACCGGTCATCATACTGCGCACGCAAGGCCCGCTTGGAGGGCCTTCCGGCCTCTAGCGTTACAAATCGAGCGTCGTGGATGAAAGAGATGGTACGTTTCTTCCAGTCCACGCGCTTATAATTACCCAACCCCAACCAAGGTAACCCAAGAATGATATCGTAGGTTATGTCTGTTACAGTGAATGGTAGGTCCTCAGTGTAAGTGGAACCGATGGAGAAGGGCATCGGGTTCACTCTACGAGAGACCGATTGCTGTGGATCGTGGGCCAGACCACCTGACACACTCACACCCTCAACAACAGAAGTTTCTATTCCTAACCGAGCAGTAAACGATGCAGACATGCAGATGTCGGTCGACCCACAATCGAGAAGTATACCCTACATGCACGACCCGAAACCTGACCACGCAGAAATATCAAGCGAGAAGATAGCGGGGCATTTTGCCCCGGTTTGGCTGTTTGGTCCCTGGGATGTGGAGACTTAACTCTGTGGCCACCAGTAGACGTCCCGAGATCATCTACTGGGGCATGGAGTTTTCATGCTCCCTAGTAGGCTCATACCCAAAGTCGATCAGGTCGGGCTGCTCCTTCTGTGGCCCCGTCTGCTCGACTTGGGCGACCTTTCGCTGCATGGGAGCCTGCATGGGGGGTTTGTTTGGGCAATCGGCAATCATGTGCCCTGGTTGCCTGCAATAAAAGCGTCCCCCCTCCTTGAGCAAGCGATTTCGCTCAGACTGGGTTAGTGGAGCTGGTCTGCACCTGAGGGCGTCGATCTCCATCGGGATTGGGCCAGATCCGTTCGGGTTAGCAGACCTGCTTGGCACATTGTTAGTGAAAGCGAGAGGCGGTCTGGCACTGGAGCACTGAAGCGGGACAAGAGCTCAACCGAGAAGGCACCCCAAGCATACAGTGTCATGTTCCCAGCATGTGCCTGGCACGTATAACGCCACTAGGACTTAGCACCCCCAGAGAGCAATCCTGCTGCAAGAATCACATGCTTATCTGCGGGTGTCTCCATCCCCAGGAAGTACTACCCACAGTCAAAATTGAAGTTCTCCACAGCCCCTGGGGTGAAAGAACCATCATGGACTTCTGGGAATTTGAGCTTGGGAGTTTTACCTCCCGTCCCAGTGCTTGCGCCAAGCCCCGCCTCAGGTGCTTGCGCAGCTGGTGCTGCCTGGGTCACTCCAGCATCAGCAGCACCAAGTACAGCCGCGGCCACAACAAGTACAGTCTCTTCCAGCTCACGCTCCCCGAGCTGAGCCTGTACCTGCCGAAGCTCGCCCTGGAGCCCTGCCACTAGGCCTGTGAGCTGCTGGAGAGCTGCAGTGAAGCTCGCAGCTCCTCCTTGCGCCTCCCCAGGGTCTGCCGGCGTGATCATGGTCCCATGGTGTTACAGGAGAAGAGATTGAGCTAAGAAAAGAGAGGAAGAGCTGAGAAAGAGCGGGACAGGAAGGAGAAGGATCATAAATCCTCTGAATACCAATGTAAACGGAAGCTGATTTCGCTAAGGCATTCTCCGCTTATACAAGGTAGAAACTCCTAGAGTACTTGAGCCAGTGAGAAACTTGTAGAGAAGTTGCTGCCCCAAAACCAGAGAACTGAGAATGAGGGCTTACGTGGTCACGAGAAAGTCCACCTTTATAGTGAGCCGTAGCTCTCAGACACAAGATGCAAAACCAGAAAATATCGCAAGACTGAATGTGCAGTACAAGATTCGAATGTAGGCAGGGAGCCGTTAGGCGAGGCGAAGTGGCTTACATAGGACGGTTCAGATGTGTCAAGCATGCCAGCTGGATGTGAGCTGGATGCAATAACGGTCGAATATGTAATTCAAAGATCCACGTGTTACACACTTGGTCCCTCGAAGCATATTCGGTGCCTTCGTTGTGTCGAAGTGTTGTACCTAATCTTTGTTGCCTATCTGGAGCAAACCCAATTGTCGCCTTTCAGGCGCCAATTTGTCGGGGGGGCAAGTTTGTGATGTGCGAAACGCCACGTATGCTCGATTTTTACAGGGGCTGCTTTATTATAGGGTGAAGAAGTCTTGGACAAGTCCAAGATGCATTGGCGACGGTACACTTGGCAAGTTGGCGGGGCCGCATGTTGTCCTATCCAACATGTGTCATTCTCGATACCGAGACACGAGGAGCAGTATAAGTGGATGTCCGCGTAACTATCCGGGCATTTCCCCAAGTCCGTGAAGAGTCTTGGAAGAGTTTGTCACGTAGCTACCGGTAAGATGTGAGTAGCCCGGTACTGATAGTATACGCAGTCAGTTCATGGCACGAGGCTATCTTATGCAGACTCGTATCAAGCATTACGGCACGCCGCAAAAGTTACTTCACACGCGCCTTGAAAAAAAAACGAGACGGCAAATTGCTTCGAACCATCGAAATCACCAGTCGATGACTTACCGGTCTGTGGCCTGCCAAAACAGCGTTCGATGGATAAAATCTGCTTTACCGAGTGGCGATCCAGTCGAGCATTCTCACGTTCGGGGTTTTCAAACGCTGGTGGGGAAAACGATAGCTGGTTTTTTGTAAACCAAAAAAACCGAGCAAAACAGAAGTGTCGCAACACTGAAAAGTACATTTTCGACATTCGATCTTCATACGTGACGAACATAACCGGCCGCCAAGTCAAATTGTGAGCCTACTAGGCTTACATCGTAGAATCGAAAATTTTCCGATAGCCGGACGGCATATTCGGGGCATATTCGAGCGCAGGCCTCGCGATGCCCGACAACTTCATCACTGTGAAAGCGTGTTGTCGAAGCATATTGACACCATGACCATTTCAAATTGCCAAATTGAAACACTTCGCAGTATGTTACAGGCACCTACGCCTGCTTGAAGTAAGTACCGTTTCTTCGAGCGACGGTGATACGCCGTGTAAAACCTTTTTTTGCCCCTATTTATAGGGGCAAATTACTGAGCAAGTGTCGCAGAAGTGTTGCAACACTTTCGGAGTGTCGCGTAGTTGTTGGCCGACGGTCGGTTGCGACCGTCGAGGGACCGTCGCAAACCTAGGTCCGCATATAACTAGCATTTGCATGATGGCTCATTGTCCAGAGATAACCAGCATGAAGCAGTTTAATGCAAAAAGTGCGGTGTTTCTGGTCAGAGGCGGCATACTTCTTCTTTTAAGCGTCATAACGTTATCTGTGCTCATTGTTCTCCTTCCTCAAGGTACCCTCAATCAAGCATGGTTTCGGCAGGTATGTGTTCATTGACCTATGCAATGGTGGCTAAGCAATGGTTGCTCTTTTTGGAACAATCAATGCAACATGTTCAGAATTCCATATCAACTCTCTGAGGAAACAATCTTTGAATTCCACCGCCAGTCTTCAATGTTCTACAACATTCTGCTGCGAGCAAGAGGTATAGTGTGGTTTGCAAAGGTAGTGATATTTGATTTAGATGTAGACTAGGACGGGGGGCAGAAAGCAGAGTTATCATGGAGCATGCTTTTTTGTTGATCTCTAGGCTTGGAGACAAAATTGTTAATTCTATGCCACATGTACCAGGGTTTGTAGGTCAAAAGCTGCTTGTGTGTAATATTTGTGGAACACATCAGGTAACACTTTTGTTTGAGAACCCTGACCATCATTTGCATATGGACATGTTATCTTGAAAGCTTAACACGGTCTATCTTTTCGTTGTGTCCACTTTCTCGTCAGAGACCAACTGCCAGCCAATGTTTGATATATGTGTGCATGTTGATTCTTTCTGCAGGCATGCACCAGTAGGACAGAGGGCTCCACTTCTGGGGCCTATGGGGGAGATCCATACTGGGACAATGCTGCAGCAAGCCTTTCACAGTGGCAGAATACTTTGTTTCTCAGGCTATCGGCCCTTTATCGATTGAGCACCGTATGCAGCCAGTTAAGCTGTCCTAATGTGCCAGACGAGCCACCTGCCCATGACCGATTTGATCTGTTTGATCCTGTGGTTGGCTGCCCAACCTCGCTGTCTCTTGCCCGTTGGGGAGGAAAGGGCGATGGGGGCAAGTGGCTGTGTGGGGTGGACACTTTGAAAGAGGGGTGCATCATACTCAGCCTTGGAAGCAAGGGCCAGTATGGCTTTGAGAAATCGATGCTGACAAACACACCTTGCGAGGTGCACACTTTTGATTGCACTTTCGATGGATCCAGCCAAGGACCTCGCCATCACTACCACAAGCTATGCCTTGGCAGCGCTGAGAAGGCGGCTGAAGACCCATTGTTTGTCAGCCTTAGTGAAGCGGTAAAGATGCTTGACGTCACAGTAGTGAGCATCCTGAAAATGGATATTGAAGGTTTTGAGTACGACGTTATGGCAGCGTGGCAGAAGACAGACCCACTGCCATCCCAAATCTCGTTCGAGTTGCATTGGAGTGGTGTGTATTTCAAGACAAATCCAGGTCCAGATTCCAAGACTGTGATGTGGAAGGGCAGGGTTGTAAGTGTAGCAGAGTTGGCAGTTTTCATGACACATCTGGCCAATCTAGGCTATGCCGTGGTCAGTAAGGAGAACAATATCAGGTGTGGCCATTGCAGCGAGCTTACCATTATCAGAGTCCGTCAAGGTTGAATTTAAGTCTCTTTTTCTTTAGAATCCCTTCCAGTCTGTTACCTTAGAATTTCTTCCAGTTCACAGATGATCCGGAAACAAAGACCGTCAGTCGATCTTTGCTTTTTTGGGACTCTTGTTGATAGTACTAGAGGAGAATACGTTGTGGTTAATCGACTAAAGATACAAAGATTTTGCACATTGTGGGTGACTGCACAACCTAGACAACTCCCTACAATGTCGTTTGCCTTCCCAATCATAAGGGTGTACATAGGACTCTTTTTTTCAATGGCTTTAGTTTGGGGTTTTGCCACATCATCTGGTTGGTTTTGTTGGACAACTCGAATGACCGCATGCCACGTACTATCCGGCATCATGTAGACAAGTCTACTATTGCGTGACACCCTAACACTAACTCTCTGGTATCGGCAACTTCCGCGCAATCATTATTGGACTGTCCATATGACACCCTCCTAGGGATCAGTCCGCATGTCGAAGATCCTCACTCTGTAGTAGTGTGCAATTCTCAGCAACCGCCTTTTGGCTCAGTAGTGTACCGGGTGGTGGGGGTGTCATATAGGCTGCGCGGCAAATTGTTTTTTAACAGATCACACTCTTTTTTACATTCATGGATCGAATTGAAACTCGCTGCTTAGCTTATCTGGAACAAAGCATTTTGGAAGTAGCTTGGGAATGTGTGCCCCTAAACCCGCCCCAGTGAGTCAGCCCGGCCCGTTGTTTGATGGAGAATTGGTAGGGGAATTCCAGAATTCGGATGAGATAAGCTTTGAAGACAGTGCTGGGGCATTGGGGGGCGGCTGAGCCCGGGGGAAAATAGCACCCGAGCACTATGAGACGGACCGGCAGCTAGTGCATATCATAGCTATTGGACTCGGGGGGGCCCTCGCAGCCTTAGCTGTCAGTATACTTTTCACTGCGCCGTTCAAGACCGGCGTAGCTCAAATCACTGACAACAAGTTAAATCGATACCGGCCTCGACGACGTATTGCCCTCTTATCCGATGATCGTGCGTAGGTCTACCAAGTGCGCACGTGCCAACATCAACTTCAATCTATATAGACCGCAGAGTGTATCCTTCTAACGCTCGCGCCTGCGCCCTTCTGTGGCAATTGCGTACCCCCGGCTTTTTGTCCCACGTGGTTGGGGTGATTGGAGCACGGTTGTGGCGCACTTAGCTCGTGCGGGGCAGCGCGGCCAGCTTAAGGCATGCGCGCTCAGCCGCGATAGTCGCCTGCGCGGCGGATTTGTGTGACGATTCGTGTCTATTAACTGCATTCCGAACTTGTCACTGTATTTTACTGTGCCTATTGGCGCATCTACTCTAGTCTTTTACATGTAATAGTGTTACCTTAGAAATCGCCTTGCTCGGAAACATGCTAGCTAGGTGCATGATGCAGATAGGTCATTAATGCATAACAATGATGCAGACTGGCTGGTTGGTCATATCATCAAACAAGCCCACGGGAAGCCCACCTAATCAAAAGTTCATCAAAAGCATTCACCAACATTTAGATAGTTGAAGCGGGTCGGTCGGCGCGCAATGAAAACAGAAAACAGTGGGTCAAGCACTTGGTGGCCGCAAGGCGGCGCACACAAGCGGATTCTTCCTATCTCTTCCAGGAAAGAATGTTCAATTTCTTCTTGTCTCTTCTCTTTTGATCGTGTCTTTCCCATCTAGCCTATCACGGGCAGTCAGCGACCAGAAGTCATGCTGGCAACCGACCCCGTATCTACTCGGCTCTTTCTAGAATTTGGGTCTTAGTTCCACGTGATCTACTGCGTACCATCTTTAGATTCTAATTGAAGACTACGAAGCTTCCGGTCACTTTCTTCTGATTCTAGAGTGTTCCGAAGGGTCGCCACGTGTCGCCTCCCGATTCGGCGCGCAGAAGTAACGCCACTTACTTTAGCCAATCAGATGATGCTCGTTTCCGCTTGTATGGTCGGGGTGTCGCCACCAATGATTGATTCCGATTCACAGGGTTTGCACGGTTGGTGTCTGTCGCGCGTACGCGCGCGCAGGGCGCTCAGTCACGTAGTGGGTCTTTGAGGATAGTAAGTTTTTGAGGTAACATAGACTGGAGTAGATGCCCGCATTTCGATTCCGATGCGTCTGGTCTTCTATGTTTCCCGTTCTTCAATATGCTCAGCAGCGGATCACGTGCGTCTCTGGCAATCAGACTTTTTCCGGTCACATGGTGATCATTGTCATGATTTGGCAAACGAGATGCCGCATATCTTTCATCATGTGCGAGTCTGCAAGTATATCTGCATAATGCATAGAATGAACGTCGTGACATTGCGTGCATGCATAAGTTAGACTGAAGCCGAAGGTTCGTCCCTAACTTGCTTACCTATTCTGCCTAGGCATCGTGTCAAAACATATGTGCAGTGGCGTCCGGTTTTAGCAATTTTTCTGGAGGGGCTGGTGGCCGGTTCTCGGAGCACCGCCAAGATGACTCGAAGGGGCTGGTGCCAGTGCCCGGCTTAGAATCAGTTCGATTTCGCGTATGGGCATCGTGTCGAAACATATGTGCAGTGGCGTCCGGAACTCCGGCTTTCCGAATTTCCTTGGTTGGGCTGGTGGCCGGTTTTCGGAGCTCTCCCTGGCAAAGAGTCGAGGGGGCTGGAGCCGGTGCCCGGTTGACCTTAAATGACAGAGTTTAAAAAGTCATGAACTTCATGAACTTCCGCCTTCAAATGTTTAATCAGCCTCGTCTGATGTATCCATGTACCTACTCTCGCCAGCCCTCTGCAAGAGGTCCAGGCACACCCCAAGTTCCAACCGACCGGTCTCAGAGAAGATATGGTCAAATTACGGGTTTTGTCGACAATGATACTTAAGGGCCCAGCCGCATATACATCCGTATCCTTGCCTTATACAGCTCCGAAGTGGACTCTAGTAACCAATGGGAAATCCAGTGGTCGTGTTTTTTAAATAAAACGTAATGATTTGCAGGCCCCATCTATATGTATCTGATTCCACTAATATTTGCCGTCGGGGCTTCGGCAGTGGGCACCCCCCTGGTGGCCGGTGTTTTTCGGGTCGATTTCTGGCCGGGCCGTACCGTAGCCTAACTGTGAAGTTTGCTACGAATTTTTGCTACTACGCGGATTTTGGCGATGTTGGCGACCCCTGAGGATGCGCGAGCTCTGAGTCGTGTGCAAATCGCTCTGGTGATTTTGCACGTACGATCACTGAATAAAACATTTAAATAAGAAGTGTGCTACAATAATGCCTAGGTGTTGGATCAGTGTAATTCTGGAGCCTTTGCATAACTTGTCAGCATTCGTCATAGGTAGCATTGTTGGATACTTCGAAATTGAACGCTGTTCCGATTGTTTCATGCGCTATGCACCTGGGTGTGCACGCGTTCATTAATACGAAGTGACCATCACTCCTGATGTGCGCGCCAATTTTGCCCGCCGGCTCGGACTTCATTTGAAGAAGTTTGGATTTGCAAAGCGCGGTACCCTACCTGGCAGCCAAGTATGGTACCGGTAAACTAAGCTAGAGTGATATTACGTGCGAGCATTCCTACTTGAAAGGTCTCCGTACAAAGGGGAGTCGGAGCAGCTGGCAGTTGCTTTCTCGGTCTCGCGCCAGGGCCGCGCATATCTACATGCGAAGGATAGCCAAGCTGGATTGTAGTACTAATATCATACTAAAATAGCCATAGGTATTCCTCTTCAGGGCTAGTATCTAGACTAGGATGTGGTAACATCACGGACCTGAGTTCCCGAGGTATTACTTCCCTATTCAATATTCCCTATGCAATAAGGTTGCGCGTCGACCGAAAACCTACCACCCCCCACTCTTATGTTGTTAGAACACGTGGTTCAGAAAACCTTGGTTTCGGCAGAGGTTTGCAGCAAACCCTTCACATCTGTGCGCCCTGTATCACCCAATTCTGCACCAAAATGCTCCATCCAAAGCAAGTAGGCAATGGCCATGTGTGGTGGCAATTGCCGACAAGGCTTCTTTGAGCAGAAAAGATGCGAAGTTGATAGATGTAGGCGACACAATCACTTCAGTGTTGCAAACCTCTTACAAACCCAGATTTATGGAAAGCAGGCCTCTGATTGGTTGAAAAACCTGGGATGACCTCGGAGGTTTTCGGTCGACGCGCAACCTAATCAACTTCCCAATTCAACCTTAGGTCGGATCATTTGCCGCCAGCCTCCGGCCAGCCAGCAGTCCGACTGAAGCTCCCTGAGCTGCCAGATAATTGCACATTGCACGTATGCATCGACGCAATGCCAGTGATAGCATGAGCTTTAATGCATCGTGTGTTCAATAATTGCTGCATTTTTAGTACGCCCCACAGTATTACTGCATGCGTATGGCCATAGGCTGTACTACTATTATCATATTAGTACACTGAGCAGTAATTCGTTTGCTATTGCCTAGTTTATCTTTCTATCTTTCGCAAGCCTGACAGTGATGGTCGGCTGAGGGCCCTGCTGAGCTGGAGCAGGTTCCTAGTGCCTAGTCAGCTGGGGCGAGGCTGACACTTGGACACGTCACGGCAGCTTACACCGCTGCAACTTAGCCCCGCTACAGTAGGTGCTCCCATCACTCCAGCACCAAACAAATGTATACCAGCCACCATCAGCCGCAGCCAACGTTGGCAAAGCAGATGTCAACGTTTAAGTCTCCAGGGCAATTGATATCCACCGCTTGGAGGACAATCCGCCGTCCAAAACCTAGCAGCACTGCTGCCAGTGACAGCCAAGTCGTGCATCGAAGGCTTGATAAGCTGTTCACCTTAGCACAGTCAGACGTCATGATCTACACGACTTACTAGCTGGGCCGTCCCCGCTGCGCCTTGAGAACTGGTATTGGGCCGCCTTATCAGTCAAGAGGAGCTCATTGAAAAGCTTTTGATGTACGTACGTAAGCAGCGCAGTTAATGGCGGGTGGAATGAATCAAACTACTCGGTAGAATCTACTTTCGAGGGGCAGACTCGTGATTGCTTAGCTCAAAGTTTGATCAAACGTCACGTTCTTCCAGGAGCTTTCCGTAATGCCTTCCGTACTGACACGTTGGTGGGTTGCAACAAAAGCAGCGTGCGCGGATCGGAGCACATCTCGTGCCTACCCACAACCTGATAACAGTGTCCCTCCACAAACACTGTTCCAAAAACCTTTCTAGGCGTCTGCCTGAGGTTCTCAGACGAAGAAGGGTAAGCCTTGCGTTTGTCTTGCTTGCTGTCCAAATGCGGTCTTTCTTTCTTTTTAAGCCACTTGAAGGAGTACATGGCTTCTCAAATGCAATCAGCAAATACACAGCTTCAATGATACTAACGCATGCTTTAGGCAGAATCTTTGAAGCGAGTAGCTAAACCTTTAGGAGCTTCCAGTAGGTGTAGCTGTTGTTCTATATTGGCAGCCTCCATGCCTCTTTTGTACTTTCCTTCGGCCCGATTTCTGGCCATCTTCCGTTCCTTGCTCATCCACATCAGGCCTACCAGCCAGCTGAGAGGTGTGACTCAGAGTCAAGCGTGTGTTCACCCAATTGACAAAGATCTGAGGTCGATCACCTTCCTGACTAGGACTTCTCATTCCGCATGCTCGACTCTAGAGTGGCACACAGCCCCGTCCAACATCTGCTCTGTACATTTTGACAACGTTTTTGGCAGAGTGAATGGTACTGCACGACGTCTTTATTGAAAGGGAACGAGTCGCCTTCGCGTGTCCAAGTGCAGGAAAGTCTGCCCGCGCTGCCCGCGGTGAGTCATTTCTGCACACAAGTGAGCTTTCGTGCTTGTAGCACACAATTAGACATTCTATGATTCAAATCTGCTTGTCAAATCTATCAGATAAAGGATCGACGGACTCCGAAAAGACTACCTAGTGTCACAGGCAAGGAAAATGTGTCTGGACGAATAAGTGTACTGGAAAGGTTACCTCTAACCATACTGGATTTCCGCGGAAATCCGGTTACCTACACTAAAACCTAAGGTTAAGGTGACGAAACCCTAAAATCGTCCCGGGGAGGTGGTTAACCCCCCACCCTACTCTAACCCAACCCCAACCCTAACCGCCGACCAGCCCCACCCGTCCCAGGGAGGTGGCGTACCCGCCACCCTACCCTAACCCACCCTAACCACCAGCCAGCCCTACCCGGTCCCAGGCAGGCCCGACCCGAAACCACGTACCGTACGGTTCATATAAGTTACGCAAACCGGTCACTACAGCGAGTCGGCGGTAGCGTAGCGGCTAGCGTTAGCCTACTGTAGTGTCTCAGAACAGTGCATCGGTTCAGTTCCGGTAGGAACACCGAGTTCCTTTTGCTACGACAGTGTTCTGACTTAGTCCTAGTGTGGTTGCCGCGATTTTCGCGGAATTCCAGCTTGGTAAAGTTTAGCTTCCCCCTAAATAAGTGTGCAATTTGCAAATTGGTCTTTGGTATTTCCACTCTGTTTCGCAAAAGCTAAAGTTCGAGCGCGGCAACTCGATCGGCCTGGCAGATGCAAGCCCGCTCTCCTCGCGCTGTCGCGCCTAGCTGTCAAGTGCGTTTACTATCAGTTGGACACTTTTCGGTGCTTCTGATCTGGGGATCTTTATCCATTGTTCCATCAGATGATGCAGCTCACTATACTTCACCATCTGCGCTGCGCATGCTCATTGTAAGCTTTGTTTTTTGCAGGTTCTCAAGGTTCCCAAAAAGCCGCTTGTGTGGGAACCAAAACCAGCTCTTCCCATTTCCGGAGTGGTCGTTCTTTTGTTAGACGTCAGCAACTCTCTGTTCCAAATCAGGATGGTGCATCTGAGTCTTAGAATGTTAGCATTCTGGCTTTCTTGCAGGTCCTTAGGGGGACGCCGCCCTCACCCAAGCCTGATCAAAGGGACTGGTCCATTTAGATCTTCGGGGTGCACCAGCTCCTTAGCTGAGAATCTGGGCCCTCTCCAAATCATATTTGTTATACTTGTCACCGTTGGATTCCCTTCCCGAAAGGCTGGTGACCTCGGTCAGAAAGCGTAATTTGCTCCGAAAGGCAGCAGCTCTAACTTGAAAGTTTCGGGTATGCTGGTTTTGAACGGGGCTCGAGTTTTGAAAACGGATCACCGGAAGGTTCACATCTCTTCGATTCCTCACACATGCTAGTGGCCCTAAGGGTAACCTATGAGCGGCCTGCAAAGACTCATGCTCTAGGTCCATTGCCCTTGGGCACTTAGACCACTTTCCTTGATGAGTCAACCGGCTTCTACTAGTGAATCGAAGCCGCTTCAAAGTTCAAAGCAGCGTGATACGACTACATCAAAACGCTCTAGTTTGCAGCTTGATGAGACGCTCGAATGTTTCGTCTCCCTTGGTACGGGACTCGCAAAGAGAAAGACTTGGACGTTCATTCCCAACTTCGTTTCTCCTCTCCTCATCCTTCTCCAAGGGTTCTCCAAGCTGACACGTGGCTTAATCTGGACGGGTTGGGTGCCTCTCGATCACACCTGCCCGATCTCAAAGCGCAGGAGGACGCGCTTTCCGATCCGAGAGGCAGCAATATAGCCCCCCGGAACGCTTCCGAGTCGGAGCTTGTTGTTTTGGTCACCTCGTCGGATCCCGTTCTCACCGCGCCCATCACATGCTCGGCTCCAGAGCCCACTTTGGCAAGCGGTCCACAGATCCGAAGCAGCCCCATCACCGCTTCTCGTTTGCCAGCCGCATCGACTGACGACTTCCCACTTACAGAGGTGGACATTGCGAGATTGAAGTCGTCCAAGCAGAAGGATGTGAACGAGGCGCTGACAGGCAAGCCAGATTCTTTGTTCACTCGCAACTGTTTGCTCAGAGATCCGAGATACTATGAGTCTGGCCTTCATACATTTTTCATAAAAAGCACGAGTTGCTCGAAAAGGTCGTATTTGGATGGACATTCAAAGATCACTGACTCCAAGTTCTGGTTTCGAAAAATTTCGGGGCAAAGTTGAGGACATGCTGGAGTACGTCACAAATCTCGACGACCTCTATGGACAAGCCGAACCTGATTTCCGGGCTTCGCCCCTCCTAAAGCATACTGCTTCACTTTCTAATTTAGCTAGTCCGTCATTTTTTTCTGCATTCCTAAGACCCCAAAGTGGGTTTTAAAAAGAACCGTTGACCCGAGACGCTCAGGAGACAGGTCCTCGAGTCCCCGCATGTCACTATTGCTCGAGCTTTCCAGGTCCAAGGAATTGCGCGCGGGTCTACAACAACTGTCGGACATACAAAAGTTGCACTGGCTGACGTCACAGCGTTGGACCCAGTTTTCCATGGACTAGTAAAGACTCAGTCTGATCCATTGTTCTGACATTGTTCGTAACGTCGATCTTTTGCTCCCACATTCAGCTACCGGTCTGCTTGTAACAGATTTTGGGCTTTGATTTCATCACGATGACGTCAAACTTTAGATAGTATCCTGCCACTTGTGGATAAGTCGATCTGATTTTGGTCCACGTTCTTTCCTCGAAGCTCATGCAAGAAACCGTCTTTGCAGGTCGGCTCCTTCAAAATTGTTGGGCTTCAACTCCTGTCTGATGAAGGACGTCCCTGCGTTGAACCTTTCTTGCTATTCTTTGCCTCAAAGCTCTTTCTTTGCAGGTTTGCCCGTTTCAACTAGCTTCATAAAGTTCGGTTAAGAGAAGGCTTATACGCAAGGGCCACGCCTTTTGAAACTATCTGCCCGGAGGCAGCTACCTTTCGAACACCACAAAATCGAAGGCTCCTTAAAGAGGGCGTCCCGTGACCCGTAACGCCTGACGTCAGCCGCATACGGTGAAATTCAATCGCACGGAAAGTCTGCCCGCGTGACGTGAAATTGAAAACCGGTGTGAGTTCGACCTGCACGGCGTGCGGAAAAAGGAGCAAAGTTGCTCCGACTGAGTTTCGATCGCTCGTTTTCACGGTGAAATTCGAGCGCCCTTGCCAACTGTGCTAGGAGTCGATGTGCTTCCGAGCTGGTCTGGAGAAACTCGAGCCGGGACGGTATCTATAGACTGACGCCCTCTTTAAGAAATTAACCATGTGGCAGTTAACACCTCCACACAACCGGATCAAATGAGCGGAAACCCTTGAGATCTTGTAGAAGAATGATGATGATGAAGTGAAAGATAAAGGGGGAAAGGGGGAGGGGCTGATGCATGGGCCTTTATACTATATTTCAACCCGTTCATCATCATCGATTTGGCCCTACGGCGGATTTTGTAAGGAAAGCGATGATGATGAAGGCTATGAAACGGGGGTATAGGGGATCATGGGACCCCAAGACAGCCTATGATGATGATGAAGGCTTTGAAACGGGGGTATAGGGGGTCCTGGTAGTCCGGGGACCCCCAAGACAGAATGATGATGATGACCGCAGTGAAACGGTGGTGTATGGGGTCCCGGGACCTCCAAGACAGAATGATGATGATGATCGCAGTGAAACGTGTGTACAGGGGGTCCCGGGAACCCCAAGACATAATGATGATGATGAATGCAGTGAAACGGGTGTATAGGGGGTCCCGGGACCCCCAAGTTGAATTGATGAAGATGATTGCAGTGAAACGGGGGTATAGAGGGTCTTGGCTTAAAGGGAAGTGATGATTCGGATGAAGGGTTTGAAATGGGGGTATAGGGGGTTTGGGACAGAAGAAAAATGTTGATGATGAATGCTTTGAAATGGGGGTATAAGGGGACCCGGGATCCAAGAGGAGTTGATGATGATGAATGCTTTGAAATGGGTGTATAGAGGGTCCCGGGACCCAAGGGGAATTGATGATGATGAAGGCTTTGAAATAGGGGTATAGGTATAGGGGGTCCCGGGACCCAAGGGGGATTGATGATGATGAAGGCCTTGAAGTAGGGGTATAGGGGGACCCGGGACCCAAGGGGGATTGATGATGATGAAGGCTTTGAAAGGGAGGTCACGGTATATGGGGTAGTATATGGTAGTATGAGGAAGATGTATATGATTGCACCTCTATATATATGCAATATTATGATGAAAGTGATAAACGTGTATATATTCACGGCCCATTAGTACTCTCTCACGCAGGGGGAAGCGGGAACGAGCACGGGAGGTGTGTCGCCGCCGCCGCTGCCAGAACCGGCGCGGCCCAAGCGCAGGCTCACAAACGCGATGATGATGCACGAGAGCCTGGAGGCAGCGAAGCACCGGCGGCGCGGCCACCTAACGGCGGATCTACTTGGGGACCAGTTGGCGTACATTGAGGCGCACTGGTTAGGCAGCACCCAGTACGAATGGGGGGTGCCAGAAGCCCCGGGCCCCTACCCGCCTGAATTCGAGCAGAACCCGTTCTTCAAACACCCCGAACCCCACTCCAGCCTCTCCATGTACCCACCCCGCGGGTATGAACCGCCGCCGGACTGGGAGGAGTACTACCCGCCAGGCCGCAGGCCCAAGGGGCCCCAGGTGGAACCCCCGCCACCGCCTCCATCGGCGCAAATGGCGATAGCGTGCAAGGGGGCCGCGTCCTACCTCGAATGGTAGAGCCATCGGCGCACGCACTGCTGGCGCAAAGAATGAGAGACTTACCAGCGTTCCGCGGGGACCGGCGGCTGGAGCGAGTGAAGGCGCCGGTGATCCGGACGGAGGAGCGCAGGGTGTGGGTGAACGGCAAGCCGCCGACGGGGACAGCCATCTTCAACACCGACGCGATGCCGTTGCTGATCGGGAAGAAGGGGATGAAGCAGCTCGGTTGGGGCAAAGACAACATCATCCCCGACGCCATGACGCTGGGGCTAGCGGACGGGAAGTCCTTCAAGCCCTTCCCCCTCACCCAAGAGCCGGTAGAGTTTGTTTTCAAAAAGGGGACGGCAGCGGAGACCTCGATTCGGGCGCGCGCAGTCGTGACGCAGGCGCCATACGACTTTCTCGTGGGCAACGTTGTGATGTGGTCGATGGGAATGGTAATCAACGCGTGGCGGGAGCAGGTGCGGTACCGAGTGGGAAGGCGCCAGGGCAGAGAGCACGCGGGCGAGGCACAGGGCTACTTCCCGGTGGACTACGAGCGCGACGTGGGCTTGGGCATGCTCCCACCGGCTTTCCTGGCTGATGACAAGTTGGAACCTCCCGCCGGGGGGGGGAGACGCAAACAGTGGGGAGCTAGGGGCGGAGTTGTGGCCGGTCACAGACGAGGAGGGGCCGCCGGCGCTAGCGGACGCAAGCAACAGCGAGAGCGAGGGCGACGAGGAAGAGGAGATGCCGATGCTGCTCGGCCTGGTTGAAATTTTTGATGATGAGAGCGCAACGCAAGGGCCCAAACCGCGAGGAGCCGGAGAAGAGGCGCATGCGGGGGAAGACAGAGCGTTGGGACCGGCGGGAGGGACAACTGCGAACGGGGACGAAGCCCTAGGAGCAGGAGGAGCGGTCGCCGGCGCAGCTTTTGCGTACTTAGACGAGGTCTACCACGTGCGCGGGGCTGAAACAAGGAGGGTGGGCCCGGTGCGGAACCCGAGAGCGGCCCTGGTCCCGCACGTTGTGGAAGTTGACGAGGCGGGCCGGCGCCCGCTTCCCCCAGGCTGGAGGTACATGGAAGGGGGGACCCGGGTGGTTCACGCGGGCGCCCTCAGTTTTGACGGACGGCACTGGCGCGGCGAAGAAGAGTGGGAGATCCAGGACAAGGCCGACGCGCAATGGTGTTGGAGTTGCAGCGGGAGTGGCCACAGTGGGGCGACGCGCTGCGCTTGATGGGGCAGTTGCAGAGACATCGACCCCCACCGCCGCCGGACCAGGACGAAACTCTGCCGGCAGTACAGTTCGGACGGCTCGGGGGAGAAGGCCCTGGGTCGGATGGGGAGTACGAACCACCGCTGGGGGAGCCTTGAGGAGACTTACCGGGGACCTACATGGTGGGGTTGCCGGAGGCGAGAGAGCGCCGGCGCTCCCTGGAAGAACAGCTAAGGAAGATGGAACGGGACTAGGGCCAACAGTGGGCAGGGATAGGACCGGAGCGGCTGCCGGCGTTGACGCCGTTTGCGAGCCAGCACATCACGGTGCTCAGCCTCTTCGCTGGAATCGGTGCGGAGCTCGAGGGACTACTAATGGCGGGGGTAAGTATCTCCAAGTTCCTGTATGTGGAGATAGACACTGTTGCCCGCAGAGTCATGGAGCATCGCGTTAGATGCTTGCATCACC